GGGGCTCCTGTAATACCCGAGATTAATTTAAGAGGATTAATAGTACCACTCATACCAACAGAGGTGCATCTCCTTTTAAGGGAGCTCATCACCCAAGAACTCCAAAGTTAAGCGTGCTTGCACGGGAGTAGTCTTGGGATGTGTGACCCCCTGGGAAGTTTCTCAGGGCACGCACGAGTGAGGACAAAGTGCGCGGTAAAGGCTCGTGGTGGTTTGTGGGGACAGTACTAGAGGTCTGGAGTAACTACCTCGGGGCCTGCGGGGCCGGGGTGTTACAGGTGGTATCAGAGCAACCCTGCGACAGTGTGCTGACCCGTTGGATATCGGGCGGTCACTTAGCGGGGCAAGATTCTGGGGGTTGATTGATATTGGTTTAAGGGCGCAACGAGGACGTTGCGATCCTAAGTGGGGGTGATTGTAATACCCGAGATTAATTTAAGAGGATTAATAGTATCACTCATACCAACAGAGGCGCATCTCCTTTTAAGGGAGCTCATCACCCAAGAACTCCAAAGTTAAGCGTGCTTGCACGGGAGTAGTCTTGGGATGGGTGACTCCCGGGAAGTTTCTCAGGGCACGCACGAGTGAGGACAAAGTGCGCGATAAAGGCTCGTGGTGGTTTGTGGGGACAGTACTAGAGGTCTGGAGTAACTACCTCGGGGCCTGCGGGGCCGGGGTGTTACAGCTCCGCCGTTTGCACCCTCCTCAGATTGCTGATAGAACTTCACCGAGACGTAGTGCTCTTCGTATTTTAAGGGATGAGGCGTCTATTTGCCTGCTGACTCAACAGTCTGTAGGCTTGCTGGTAGAACCTCACCATGGCGACCCAGCCGTCGCCCGTGCATCCCTCCCAATTTCATGCTTCTTTGTCGAGGTGTCCCTTTCCTGATTGCTGGTGGAGTTCCTAGGGGCACCTTTGACAAATTGGTGGAGTTCACCCCGTTGAATCAAGCGCTCAATGGCTTTCTTCAGTGCGACGCAGTCGTCTGTATTGTGGGAGGTGTTCTTGTGGTAACGGCAATAAGTGCCGCCCTGGTGGACGGTGTAGACTTCCGTGGCCGACCGGGGATCTCTGGAGATGAGACCTTGCTCCTCCGCGTAGTCGAGGATGGTATCCACCGAGTGCGTGAGTGGAGTCCTTGGGACGTCCATCCTCGGCTGCCATGGGCGCTCCTTCCGGTTCTAGCAGGCATGGCCTCCGGCCGAGGATGCGCTTGGGGCCGACGCATTGTTTATCTTCTTTGATGGTCGGCCTCCATCCTTCTTGCGGGAGTGGAGCTCATCGGCGTCAGCGTACAAGCTCCCTCGCTGGAGTGCCTTGGTGTATGACCTCGGCAGGTCAATGATGAGGCTCCTCACATAGGGGCTGCTGCGGAGAACGCCTTGGAAGAGGACGAGGAGGGTGCGCTCATCGGCACCTTCGACCTCGTCTGTCTCCTTCGTCCATCGGTCGATGAAAGACCGAAGTGATTCATCGTGTTGCTGTTTGATGGAGAGGAGGTGGGAGAAATGTTTCTTCACGCGCTTCCTTCCGGCGAAGTGGGTGAGGAAGCATTGGGCAAGATCCTGCCACGAATCTATGCTTCCTTCGGGGAGCACGTTGAACCACTCGTACGCTGGCCCTTCAAGAGTTGAAAGGAACCAACGACATAGGTATTCATCTGACGCGTTCACCATCAACATGTTGTTCTGATAGCGGCTGAAGTGCTCCTGAGGGTCGGAGCGGCCTTCATAGGGCTTGATGGCGTTCCCTCAGTACTTCTCGGGTATCGAGGCTGAGAGCACCCTCGTGGTGAAGGGAGTTTTTGTTCTTATTTGGATGATGGGGTCACCACGTCCGTCGGCCAGCTCCCTCTCCAGGGCACTGACCTTAAGCATGAGCGCGTGGTAACCTGGATCCTCGGATGTGTTAGCCGTAGGGATGGTGGCCGATTGTCTAGCCTCCATCTGGGCCAGTCTCCTTTCTAGCTGGGCGATGACCTCATCCCGAGGGTCCTTGGCGGTCGTAATGGCGCCTTGCTGGTTGCGCACGCGAGCTTCTTGAGCCGTGTTGATTCGATGGCGCGCATTGTCCTCGTGCAATTTTCCTTTGCCTCTGTCCAGGCGGAGCCGATCCGCTGTCCGGGATATGGACCCCAAGCTTTCCCTTGGTGAGCCAGGCTCACGTTCACCAATCCGTCCCGCCATCCTCTCCGAAGCAGGCCGACGACACGTGTCACCTAGCCTATTAAAGGCTGAGGCTTTTCCACGCGTTGGGGCCGGTCCAGCTCGAAGTGGGGAAGCAGGGTGGGAGTGGGATGACGACGTGTCCTGGGGCACCACCCCTTCGTCGTTGCCTAGCTTGATCGCCAACGGCTGGGGCTGAGGAGGCGGTGTAGTGTTCTCCCTAGTCCTTGGCATGAGTGCGCTGAGGACGGTGGGGTTCTGGACCAGGCTGACGATGATGGCTGAGAGAGTGGCTTGGAGCTGAGGGTCAATGGTAGAAGAAGCCAGTTGCCCAAAGACGTTGTCACCCTTTTCTGCATGCTTCTTGTCCAAGCTGATGCGGGCGTCTGGGGCGCCGCCGTTAAGCTTGTTGCACAGGTCAGTGGTGAGGCCAATGGCTTCCTGGAAGACATCCTCGACGGGAGCCTTTCGGCTGTAGCATCCTCCTCGTGTTCTCGGTTCTCTTGGGCCTCAGGGATGGCCTCGCCGAGGAGGTTGTGGTTAGACTTAGTTCTTCCCATTATCAGTTAGTTGTGCTTAGTAGCGACGAAGGAGGCTAACTTGATTGTTCTAGCTCTCAACGAGAGCACCAAATGATAGACTATAAGTCTAGAGAGAAGTGAGAGCTAGAGAGAGAAGTGCAAGTAAATGCTTCAATAAATGATTTTGTGAACCCCTACAACTACCTCCAGAGGAAGTATTTATAGGGAAAATACGGGCTGGGCTCCCAAGCCTTGGGCTGGGCGGGCTCCCAAGCCTTGGGCTTGGGAGGCCCATTTACAACTGGACCGCTATTGGGCTGAATACAATGTGTGTAGAAATGATTAAGTGTAAAATCTAGTTCTGTGAGGCTTCCGTGGCCGACGAGGGTCAGGCCGACGAGGGCACGGTCGATGAGGGCACGGCCGACGGGGGCACCCAAGTTCCCTGGCTTCAGGATCATATTCTGAGTTGGTCCCTCTTCGGCCGACGGGGGTCCTTTGGCCGAAGAGGGCACCGCTTGGTGGCTTGTGCTTTCTGTTCTTCCGAGTATGTGGGTCCTGGGGCCTAGACCCATATACTCCATCACAGACCATCATCATCCTGAGTAACAGCAATACCCAGAAAGAAACTCAAATGTCTCAGATCCTTCATAGCAAATTCAAAACCCAATTGAGCAATAAAATGATTCTGTAAGCGGTCAGAAGAGGCTGCTAGAATAATGTCATCAACATAAATGAGAAGATAAGCAATATCTAGGCCCTTCATGTAAATAAACAAAGAGTGATCTGTTTTACTGTGAGTAAAGCCTATAATAGTAACAAAAAATGTGTAACACTGATACCGGGCTCGAGGAGCCTGTTTGAGGCCATAAAGGGATTTCTTGAGTAAGCAGACATGATTAGGACGAGTCTTATCATGAAACCACAATGGCCGATGCATATACACAGTTTCATTTAGATAACCATGCAAGAAAGCATTCTTGACATCCAACTGGTGAATTGGCCAAGATATATAGAGAGCAATGCTAAGAACACATCGAATGGTAGCTGGTTTACAACTAGGCTGAAAGTTTCATCACAATCAATACCTTGTTGCTGAGTTTTTCCATCACTAACAAGACGGGCTTTATGTCGCTCAATAAACCGTCAGAATGCTTTTTATGACGAAATATCCACATAGACCGAATGACATTCACACCCTGCGGTCGAGGCACCAATTCCCATGTATTATTAGCAATAAGAGCATTAAATTCATCCAACATTGCATGTTTCCAATTAGGGCCACACAAAGCACTAACAGGATCTTTGGGAATGAGAGAGATGGTGGGGGTAGTCATTGTGGTTAAGTTGGTGAAATATTTGGGGTTAGGTTTGAATATACCATTTTGTGTGCAGGTAGTCATATGGTGGGGGTTCGGATTAGAGGTAGGAGGTAAGTCGTTGTGTTGTGGGTCAAGAAGAGTAAGGGATTCTAGTGGGGAGTAGGAGGTGCTGATAGTGTGACAGTACCATCGTTATGAGAAGGTGATGGGGTGGTAGAAGGTGGTGCGGTGTTACGGTGTATATATGTGGGAAAATGGGGTTGTCATGCAAGAGATCATAATTTTGGGGTGGAGGGTTTGGAAGTTTGGCGAAGGGAAATTCTTTTTAAAAAAAATCACATGCCTAGAGATAATAATTTTTCCATTTTACATGTCATAACACTTAGATCCCCGATGATTTGGAGCAGGACCAAGATAAGCACAAGGTGTAGAATGGGCCTGCAATTTGTGAATAGTGGGAGAAGGAAAAAGGAAAACATAGACAACCAAAGCTGTGTAATTCCGAGTAAATGGGATTACATTGGTATACAACTTGAGTGGGAGATTGAAACCCTATGGTTGGGAGTATGTTGATGAGATAAGTGACCATATAGAGGGCGTGATGCCAGAAAGAGAGTGGTAAGGAAGCATAGCAAGTAAGGTTCGAATTATATTATTAATGGACTTAATGTGGCGTTCAGCTTTGCCATTTTGAGGGGAGGTATGAGAATAAGAGAAGCGAAAAAGCATACCATGTTGATAAAAAAAATTCGTTAAAGTACCATTAACCTATTCAGTGTCATTGTCACATTGAAAAGTTTTAATGTTTCGTTGAAATTGTGTATGGACGAAAGCATGAAATGTTTGAAACAAGTGTTTAACTTGAGATTTCTTTGCAATAAGAAATGTTCATAAAAATTTATTGTAATCATCAAGAAATAAGACATAGTAACAATGGACTGAAGTACTAGTGACATGAGAAGTCCAAACATCAATATGAATAATATCAAAAGGTAGAAAAGTGTACGATACAAAATCAGAAAATGGTAATTTAGAATGCTTGCCTAGAGGACAAGAGGAACAATACGTTTTACAAGCCTTATTACAAATCAATAAAATTACTACTACTAAGAGATCTAAGTGTAGCATCACCAGGATGACCTAAGCGAGCATGGTCAAAAGTAATAGATACCATATTGTCAGTGGTGAATTTACGCATAGATACGAGGTTCTTAATTAATTTAGGGGCATGAAGGACATTTTTAGGGCAAAGGGAGGATATGGATGGGGTAATGTAGTACTACTGTGGCCAATAATAGGAATTAAGAGACCTGGTTCCGCAGTCATATGAGATGTAGCACCGATGTCCATAAAGTAATTTCCGTCCGGTTGAGAAAAAATAGAGCATGCATAGCCGCTTCCATATTCGTAGGAGTGTAGCTCACGGAGGGAGCAGTGGCAATGTACGCTTGAGGGCGGGGTCCAAGAGTACCCCCGACCTAGTAGATCGAGGGCTGGGTGAAGTAGTCACTGATCTAGGGACCCAAGAAGAAGATAGATATGGGCAGAGAGGAGGCATGGGTCATTGGGCTGCCCAAGGATTCCATGAAGCTCATGGTTGTTGTGGCCAATTAGGGCTAAATAAAGGCCCAAAGTTATGGCCCTTATTATGAGAAAAGTTGGGTCCAGAAGTCTTGGGATGGTTCTTCTTGGTTTAATTTGGGAGTTTTTAAGCGCAGAGAAAGATGTCGCCGACGATCCACCGTTTTGGACATTGCTTGAAGAGATAAGGACCGTCTGTGACCGGTTGGTCCCTTCCTTGGCGAGGCAGTTCTTGATGATACGCTCGACCAGTTTCAAGCGAGAGTGGCAACTTTCAAAATCAAGGAGTGGGTCTTGATTTTGAATAAAATCCACAGTTCCGACGTAGGCTTCAGGCAGCCCACCGGTGAGTTTGAGAACCAGACGGCTATTGGGAACCACAACATCAACATTGAAAAGTTGTTCGACCAGAGATCTGATGTGATTACAGTAGCTATCAATTGAGGAGAAGCTCTCAATATTCAGGTCCTTAAGCTCTTCCTCGAGATGAACATCTCAGGAGGCTTTATTGAATTGGTTTCCTAAAACAGCGACTCTAAACGAGTCCAGGCGGCACAAGCGGTGTCATCTTTAATAATAATAGCATGAAGAAGGTCCGTGGTATCATTCCCATAAATCCATTGCAGAACTATAGCATCCAATCTCTTCCAAAGAGCAGGGTCAGCGGCCTTGGTAGCCTCATAGGCAGCTTTCTCTGTTTCGTCTTTGGGAGGAATGATATGGTGATGAAGGTCATGAACCTGAACAAGGACTTTGAAGAGGGCAGCCCAAGAGTGGTATAGTCCATGGTCTGCATCCAACGTGATAGGAATGAGAGTTTTAACATTGGTAATGGTGAGGTCTGAATGAAAATTTTGAGGGTTAGCCATGAGGGCCAATTTCTGGTGTGCAGCGGAAGAAGGGAGAAGAAAAAGACCAGAAAATGGTTCGTAAACACATGTTTACAAGAGATTAATATGGAAACAAATATATAAAATAAATGAAATGGCTATAAACAAGGTTACTAAATATATATATACATAATGAATAAAATATATTTAACATATATTCTAACAATGGCATCAATATTACTCCACAAGTTTCTAATTCCAAAAATATGACCACTTTAGGATTTTCCAAAAACCTGATCGGTCCCCTCTGTCTTCCGCAAAGAGACCCCAGATCTGCGCATCTTCTTCCCTTTCGTCCCAGGCTTGCAGCTCCAGAGAAGTTTACAAATTAATTAAAGTCCTTCGCCCAGGCGCAAAAGCCTCACCTCTGTCTCCAACCTCTGCCATACTCTGCCAAGGTCGTCCCTGCTCTCTTTCTCCGTCTCCAACCTCCGCCATACGCCGCCTCATCCACGTCGACGTGAGATTTCGGATCCTTGTGGTGCAGTTGAATTGGGCGGCAATGACGTTGTTTTGGGCGGTGGTGAGGTTGATTTGGGCGGCGGATATGACTGTGGGATGGGGTGTGACGATTGGGAGGGGCTGGTCTGCTACAAGGGACTGGGAGGGCATCGATTGGGGCTGGTGGCATCCATGGGGGTTGGTGGGGATTGTTTGGTAATGGCTGTGCTGGATGACATACGGTCAGTGGCCGGCGGCCAACGGCATCACCCACCGGAGGGACGATGTCTGCGGCGGTGCAGTGACAGTGTGTGGGGTGGGACAGTGGTGATGCTCTGGCGGTGCAGACGGGGTGGCACGCATATTTGGTTGAAATATATGTTTTTTACTGGAAAAAAGTCGCCAGAAAATTTATCGGCAATCAAAGTGACACCCCCTCAGTGACACCAGCGGTGGCTTCAGTGACTTCGACGGTGGCTGAAGTGACATGACGGTGGCTTCAGTAACATCGGTGTAGCTATAGTGACATTCAAAAGTGACATAATTTTTTTGCAGTGACATAAAATTTCGCAGGTACATCAAGTTTTTCCAAATATATGACCTCCTTAGTCACTTTTTTGTCATTTTATAAAAATGGTCACTTTTTTGGAAATTGCCTTTAATTTGGTAATATTCAAGGAAAAAGCCCTTGTAGATTTAAGTCAATGAATAATTGAATATTGATAAACTTTTCTCAAATGATAATTCTCTAATTAGGAGGAGCTTAAGTGGAATTGCATGCTTTATTTCTCTTCAAGTTGCGGTGTGAGGCAGTAAGAGTTAGAGACTTCTTTTATGCGGTGATGTAACTAGCTAGACAATATGAAGACGGTAATGTTCAGGCACGTCAGAATTAGAGCCCGTTTTGTAACACTGAAGTCGGGTGAATCGGCTAATTTTGCTGAAATTTATGAAATTCTGGCTGAAATTGTTGTATTGGCTGATTTTGCTGATTTATGAAAAAAATTAAAATATATTTTATTAATAAAATAAAGAAAATATTAGATGAAAATAGCTAAAATGGTTATCTACAATAACTTCAGTTAATACAACCAGAAAAGTAACGTACTCCAACCTTACTTTTTCTTATTATTACACAATTCAGCGCGCGAAATCAAAAATTAAGTGTTTGGTTAAAAAGTTGGCCGAAAATGGATGTGATGACTACGAAGGATTGAAAATGCAATTAATGGATCTTGACTCGGAGATATATATGAAAGTACGTACCTGATGGACTTTTACTACCCAAATCAAGTGACTCTAAACCACATAGTGCATTTCAATAAAGTTGAAACGCTCACTTTGCGGATTAAAACAATCAGGATGAATGTGGTATAACTGTCTAAGTGACTACTTGATTACAAAGGGATATAGAAACTGATAAAATATGCCCCTGCGTATTCATTAAGACAACGAGTTTCGGATTTGCAATTGTAGCTGTGTATGTCGATGACATGAACATAATTGGAACTCTTGATGAAATAAGAGAAACTAAAAACTACCTAAAATCCGAATTTGAGATGAAGGGCCTTGGGAAAACTCAATTTTGTCTAGGATTAGAGCTAGAACATTGATTTTGTGGAGTATGAATCCACTAGTGTGCATATATCCAAAAGATGTTCAGGCGATTTAATATGGATAAAGCGCATCCTGCTAGCACTCCCATGGTTAGTCGAGGTTTGGATCCTAAAAAAGACTCATTTCGTTCAAAGGAAGATGACGAAGATGCATTGGGATATGAAATTCCTTACCTAAGTGCAATAGGCGCATTATTGTACTTGGCACAGTGTACTCGACCAAATACAGCATTCTCAGTGACCTTATTAGCTAGATTTAGCTCCGCGCCAATGCAACGTCACTGAAACGGTATCAAACTTATTTTCTGATGCCTAAAGGGAATTAGTGATTTGGGATTCTTCTTTCCCTACAAAGAGACAAAGAAATCACAAAGGAATTATGGTTGCAAAAGAAAATATCAAAGATAAAATGATCACCCTCCTTAAGAAAATTCCAAATGATGTATTGGTAGGTTTTGTTGATGCTGAGTATATCTGACCCTCACAAAGGCCTCTCTCAAGCCGGACACATTTTCACAATTGGTAAGACAACAATATTTTGGAGATCAACTAAACAAACCTTTGTGGCTACCTATTAGATATACTCTAAATAGACTATCTGTAATAGTTTTAACTATTGTTAGAGTCTCGGTTATAAGTCAGTTGAGTTTGTTATGACTTAAGCCAACTCTATAAATACTTGTACTGCCGCTTCATATCTGAATAATAAGATTTCACTCTTTACCTCTTATCTCTCTTATCTTTCTATCATGGTATCAGAGCTTTAGCTCGATCCATTAATGGCGATCTCCGATGACTCTTCTCACTCCTCGAGTGGAAACTCTAGCAATCCTACCTCTCCTGTTATTTTCACACATCCTCTTCTAGTTAAACTCGACAAAAACAATTTCTTATTCTGGAAACATCATGTTGAGTCTGTTGTTCGTGCGCATAAGCTTCTTCGTTTCAATGTAAAACCGATCATTCAGAAGCAATTCAATACTGATGCTGATGAAGCAGGTGGTGATGTTAAAGAAGCTTATGCTGTTTGGGAGCAACAGGATCAGATGTTGTTCTCCTAGTTATTGGCTTCGCTTTCCGAGTCTCTACACGCTCGTGTGATTCATTGCAGGCATTCACACCAGCTGTGGAGTGAAATTACTGTTTTCTTCAAGTCGCAGATTCTCGTGAAGTCTAGACAACTCAAATCTGAGTTGTATAATACATCTAAGGGTGATCGCTCGATCTCTGAGTATCTTCTACATGTTCAGACAATAGCTGATAATCTTATGTCGATCGGAGAGCCTATTTCTGTTAAGGATCATATTAATGTCATACTTGAAGGTTTACATGAGGAATACGAGTCACTAGCCTCTTCTATTTCATCACGAAGTATCCTTGATCCACCTACTTTGTCTGAAGTTGAAGCTCTTCTAGCTGCCAAGGAGTTGCGTTTGAAGAAGCTCAATGAATCCTCACAATCTACTATATTCTCTGCCAATGTTGCTCGTCTACAACCAGATCCTGTAAACACAACTCATGAACCTGAATCTCCTTCAGGTGTAGAAACTACTTCTGCTCATGTTGCTCAGTTTCACACTTCAAATAGTAATGATTCCTACAGAGGTAGAGGCCGTGGAGGTCCCATGAGAGGTCGAGGTGGTAGATTTGGTGGTCATAGTTCAGTGATATGTCAAATATGTGGCAAATTTGGTCATCATGCTTTAATCTACTACCATAGATTTAATCCTTCGTATTCTGCTGTACCTGCTTCTACAAATCCTCATCCCTATTCTTCAACTCCAACAACCTATACTCACACTTTTCAGCCCTATCATTCAACCCCAACAATTTACACTCCAAATCCTCCTAACACCTCAAATTCTAATCCACATATCTTCAACTGGCCTCAACAATCCTACAGTCCCGCACCACTACAAACCTACAATCCTAATACACAACAACCAGTCCCTCAGAATACCTACAACCCATCACCCACTGCTACCTGGGCATCTGCAACTCCTTCCATTCTAGGACCACCTCCACAACCTCAAACTTGGTTCCCAGATTCTGGTGCTACTCATCATGTGACTGCTGATCCATTGAACCTGCAACATAGTGAACCTCTTGTTACAACTGATAAGCTTTTTATGGGAAATGGTCAAGGTTTGGAAATTAAGTCCATTGGTTTTACTTCTTTTCCCTCACCTTATCAATCTTCTTTAGCCTTGTCACTTAATAACATTTTGCATGTTCCATCCATTACTAAAAACCTCTTAAGTGTCAGTCAGTTTGCTAAGGATAATCATGCATTTTTTGAGTTTTATCCTTATGAATGCTTTGTTAAATCTCAGGCTTCTAAACAGATCATGTTGCATGGTATCCTTAGAGAGGATGGTTTATAAAGATTTCAGTCTGTTCCAGCTCTTGGTTTCCATCAAAATAACTCAACAACCAGCTCTTCTTCTGTGTCATCATCTTCTTCCAGTTTCAGTTCTTCTAGCACTTTTCTATCTACGTGTAATAATTCTAAGTCTTGTAATTCTTCTGAAATATGTCATATTTGCATTTGAGATTAGGCCATTCTCATTATGAGACATTGAAATCTGTAGTGCAGCTGTGTAATGTTTCTTCAATCAATAAAAATGCTGTTCAATTTTGTTCTGCTTGCTGTCTAGGGAAAGCACACAGATTACCATCATCTAGCTCTACAACTTCCTATCACAAACCATTTGAACTCATTTTTACATACCTATGGGGACCATCCCCATTCTTATCATTTGATGGTTACTCTTATTACATATCCTTTATTGATGCATATACCAGGTTTACTTGGATTTACTTCATTAAAAAGAAGTCTGATGCTCTCATAGCATTCACAAACTTTTACAACTATGTTCTCAATCAGTTTTCTGTATCTATCAAGTCTGTTCAATCTGATTGGGGTGGTGAGTTTAGATCCTTTTCAACATAATTGTCTGAAAAAGGAATAACTCACAGAATCATTTGTCCACATACACACCATCAAAAT